TGCGTGCGTGCGTGCGTGCGTGCGTGTCACAGCAAGTCTGTTATGTCTCTGTGTCTGTGTGTGCGCACGTGCATATCTGGACTGTCACTGTGTGACTCATTTGGTGTGCGTCACTGTGTGCGAGATAGACTGTTACGGTGTTTCACTGCCTGTCATTGCGGTCACTCTTGCTCCCTCTGTATAGCTCCCCATCCCTCCCCTGTCTGTCACGTGTGTGTGTGTGTGTGTGTGGCCGTCCCTTTGTCACCATGTCTGTCTCTCTTCATGTTTGTCCTGTCTCCCCATCTATCACTCTGTCCTGCTGTGTCAGTGTGTGCGTGCACTCACGCCCATCTCCCACAGCTGTGCTGCTTGTCTCTCCCCGTGTTGCTCTGTGTCTGTGTGTTTGCATGCGTGTGCCCCGTCACTGTGTCACTCCTCTGTGTGCCTCTATCACTGTGTCCCTCATGCTCTGTGTGTGTGTGTGTACATCTCTGTCCAAACACGTGCTTTGCACCCGGGCATAGGCGGTGCCGCTGCCGCCGAGGGGGAGAAGCGTGGGGCAGTGCCAGCCCCAGCATCCTTTGCCCTGCTTCCCATGAGCAGCCGTGGCCCAGGCACCTCCACCCCCCCCACCTTGCTCCATCCTCCCGAGCCAGGTGGTAACGAGGGCCAGGTGCTCAGCAGGTTCCGAGGAGGAATCAGCTGATGAACCAAGTCACAAAACAAATAAAAATAGGAGACACCCTGCTCTTCCTTTCTGTAAAGGAGCCCTGACAGGTGGCTGCTCTTGCTGCTGGGTACCCCTGTCCTTCTGCCTACTCTGGTCGATGGCACCTGCTTCCTGTCCCAGGGCTGCTGCAGTGCAGGTGCACCATGTTTGCTGGCTATCGAGAAAGTAACTTCATGGAGAATTAGAGCCTGTTCTGAGCAAACAGTCAATTATGGCAGTGTCCGTGTACAAGACCCTGAGTACGCAACCTAGGACTACAGACATGTGAGTGTTGAAGTTAAAAACTGGAGGTTTCCACTGTCAGGTTTGCAAGCTGTTGCTTTCTCTTTCTCAGGAGCCATGAGCGTACTTCTTGACCCCTTGGGAGGTGAGCACACGTAAGATGAAGGGCAGGGGAGCAGCGCTTGTGCCCCTGCCAGCCCTGCTGCCTGTGCGCGTTGCCCTGCAGCAGCGTGCCATGCTCGGCCATGCACCACCTGCCAACAACGCACTGCCATCAGAGGGGGTCAAACTGATCTGTCTGCTTGCCCTCCTGGGGTTTCAATCTCCTTTTTAGAACCAACGCTCTCTCTGTGGGGGCTTTTGGCTGGTTTTTAGGGTTTTTTCCCTAATTCCAAGCTTTTTTGGTGAGAAAAGATGAATTAATAGCAACATAATGTTTACAGAAATGCCTGAGGGAAGCCAAAGCACGTGTCATCTAGCAGCAGGCGCCTCCCTTCAACGCTGGTAGTCTCAAAGAGAAGTTCATGAGCAGGTTATCTCCACCTGATAAATCCGCTGCTATCTGCCGTACTTTGTGGCTGTATCAGTAATTATGTGTCAGCCATCATACATCATCTGAACGGTGAAGAAATGAAACTGTTTTTCCCGAGCCCAGCACAATGGACAGAGAGTATTGTACAAACGTGCGTGTTCCAAGGAATAAGGAAAAAACAATTCTCTTTGCCTCACTTTCTCCTGTGAATGCTGCAGTTGTGCTAACGGGGTGCAGAAATGACAGAAACCCCTGCATCAGGCACAGGGCTAAACACGGGCTTTTTCCCCCGAGCCTTACGTGGCAGAACCAGGGTCACCTGAACCCTGCGAGCAGCAACGACTCCAGCTCGGGCCCCTCGGCCCTTCCTCTGCCAGCAGTGGCCATGGCTGCCTGGCTCAGCGGGCTGGTCTGGATCCCAGTCCTAAACCACGTGCCAAATTCAAACCCAGATTAGCACGTAAAAAGTAAATATGCAAGTCCAAGGGATTTGTGCTCTTAACTCTGGCATTTATGAAAAGTCTTGCCCAGCAATCTGCGCATGCCATTGGGAACATCAAAAATAGAGTATTTGGCTATTCATGCCCGGTACAAACCATTCACAGCTGGATTTCACCCACGGCCAGGAGTTTTAAATATGCCGAGTGACCTCTGGGGTATGTAGCTCAACACTAGAGAAAAACAACTTACAAAAAGCATGGGCGCATGGATTTACTAAGGGCGTTTGCAATGCCAGACCTTTGCCAACAGCGAACCCTGAGGAGTTGAGTGTTTTCCTTAGAGTTTGAAAAAGGTGAAAAATGGCGTCTAAACAGGCCTGTTTTGGGCATTATCCATTACAGTCTGTACAGAAGAAAATTACTTTTCTTAATCATAATCACCACATAATCCTTTCATGAAATAGACCAAAAATAGGTCTCTGTATTTAGAATCGCTATCATTAATTTCTCTTCTTTTTATGGCAAGAGAGAGGAAAAATAAAAGATTTTTTTCTCCCTTTTCTGATTTCATTAAGCAGATTATTTGAGAACTAACTGCAAGGCCATTGCAGGAAACGCCTGGAGCCCAGAGGAGAGGTTCAGATTGCACATGGGATCGTTGGATGCCAAAAAAAGAATCCTGGTGAGGCGAGGTTGGATTTCTTGCTTCTCCTCGGTCCCGGCGCTATTTACCGTGAAGTTGCTCTGATGTTGTGTGGGTTGGTAACAGTTCAAAGAGGACCTGCGATCGTCTGGCAACAGGGGAGCACCTGGATGTGCAGATATGGTTCAGATTTGCTGCTGAATGGATGCAAAACCAGCACCTGTGGGAAATTCAGAGTTACCGGTACAAGTGAGTAATTTCATAAGTCCTATTATAGTTGATGTCTTTACATAAGTTGCTACATGCCTGTGGCTGTGTGAGAATCTGATACAATTTTTCCGGAAAGGGTACATTTCTATGTTCAATTCTATGATGAAGACCTTGAAACAATGCCTGGGACACCCTTTTATCATAAAAACAACCCCTTTGTCTTCCCCAGACAGACAGACAGACACACACACACACTCTCTCTGATTATTTTTGTCTGGCTACTGAAGGAAACATGACTTAGTCACATTGTACGTGAGCGTATGTGTGTGCGCGTGCATGTCTGTCTGTATTTTCCTGATTTCCTTTTTCAAGAAATAGTCCAACTTCAGCTACATTTGACAGAAGCTTCAGAGATAATTATGTCTCTCTGAGGGGCAAGAAAATCAGTAGCCAAGGAGAAATGATGGATCTACAATTGTATAAACTGAAATAAAAATTGCAACTCTAATAGTATCAGGCACCAGAAAGTCTACACGCAAAGAGGAGAGAATGAGAGTTTACGTGGAAGGTGTTCATCAGCATTTATAAGCAACCAAAGATACAAGTCCATGGAAATCAGGCCTCAGAGTTATTCTGGTGCTCACAGAACCATAGGTTGGTTTCTTTTGAGTCACACAATTATTATGGAAATCTCATCATTATTTTTTGAAGACTGACTCATGTTTTTTTAAACACTTGGGATCACCAGTGCTCAGGAGCATATTCTATAGGACAAGGCACTGAATTCCCTATGATTTATTTTCCTTTATTTTAAATGATTGCCCTAGATGCCCTTTTACCTAAGTGGAAATGTAGGGCTCCTTTAGAAATAACATCTTGCTAATTGTACCAGAGTCATTTTAGTGCATGAAACATCTTTCATAAAGATGCGAGTGGTGCTGTATAATGAATGCCTGCCTGAGGAAATTGAAGTAATCAATTGCCAAGACCATCACACTTCTAGAACAAGCACAGAAAAAATGCAGATAAGGGCTTTTAAGCCATAGGGTGGAAATATGCACATAATTCCTTGAACTGCTTTAAAATGCAAATAAATATGAATTTCTTCATCAACTATGGAGATTAAAAAAAAAAAATCTGGCTATATAGAGCAGGGTTTTCTACACTCTATTGAAAAGTGCCTATCGCAAGAATCCACAAAAGCCATTTCTATATGAAATCCTAGCCTCACTAAAGCTGTGGCAACTCTTTGCTGGCTTCGCTGGCCCAAACCTCCATATGACCTCTCTAAGGATATCAAACACTCGATTTTTCAGCTGCAGCCCCTGCCATACTAGGTAGGACCCAAAGTCCTCCAGAATTTGACCTGCCCACAGTAGGTGCTGTGCCAGAAGCAGAGCGCAGAAATCCCCAGAGCCCGGACGTGAGAGGACCCTTCCCCGCACTAGCTGGGGCGGCGAGCCCTCAAGGGCCACCTTGCCCCGACCCGGCCCCGCGGGTGCCAAGCCCTGGGACCGTGGCAGCGCTCCATGGCAGCGCAGCACAGACCTAGGCAGGGTGAGGCAAAGGCCTCACAGCAATATTTACTGCAGGGAAATGAAGGGCAGAGGGTGTTTTCAGAGTCACGCTAAGCCAGAAGGTAGGGAGAGGCATTGACGTGCAAGTGCTTGTCACCCTCACTACTGCTTAAACACAAAACTATCCTTTAATATTAAGCAAACTGTTCTATAAGAGGGAATATTACTACCTACTATTCTGAGAAGGACGCTGTGAGATTTAATTAATGTTTGCAAAACACTTAAAGGATGAAAATGTACTCCAGAAGTGCTAAGTATTATTATTACTGCTGCCCCACAGGGATATTTTGATGAAGTTTGCTTAAATAACTTTTGTAAAGCACTTTGATCTCTCTGGATAAAAAGTGCTGTGGAAGCGCCAAGTGCTACTGCTCTGTAAGTACAGTTCACGCGATGCAGCGTGACCTCCTTGCCTGCACAACTTGCACACGGGGCTGCAGCTTCGTGTCTGCTTTAAGGCAGGCAGAGCAGGCTGCAGTGCTGGTAAGGGCCAGAGCAAATGCATCAGCATGAATCATGACGTATTCTTGCATGTACACCTGGCTGATATATAGGCTTTATTACTTTGGCGCTTTCTAATGAGCATTTACCTTTTTTCTTTTTAAAATTATTTTCATTATAATCATGCTGGACAACTTGAATACACTATGTGTTTTAATGAAGGCACAGGACATCCGTAAAAGATCATGCCACAGATAAAATAGGGAATACATCATGTTTATTACTCGTTACATCAAATTGCATTGCACTGATGCTGATGATCTGATGCTGAAAGCCAGTCGGAAATGAGCTATTGTATGTGATTTCAAAAGGTAAGGGATGACAGCATCTGACCTCTCGCTCTCACTCTTTCCTGATTGCTGGCTTTCTTCCTAAACGGGCATACTTCACTAGCTCTTCCAGACAAGGAGAGAAGCCAGCAGGATTGTTTAAAGTGCACTGGTACTTAGAAAAGAGAAGAAATTACTCAGACTTTAGCCTTTCTTTTGGAAAGCTCAATGCCGGCCCAAACCTTACTCTTAAATCTAATGCAAAAGCAGGGTAGCTATTCTTGTACCTAAACTAACCAAAAGTACGTGTGCTCTGCCAGCCACACGAGCACTATAAGCTGTTTAAGATCTAGCAACAAAACTCAGTTTTTTGAACCTTTTCTTTCTGTGCCAGTTATGTAAACAACTGTGAAGGGCTCCTGGCCAAAGGCTGAGGGGAGTATGCTTGGTCAAAGGCTGAAAGAGAGCAAAGCTTCCTTCCTGGCGTTACTAATAGCTTCAGGAAAAACAGCCCACCTGGAGGGGAACCCCCCTGCCCTTTTGCTTCCTCCTCCCACTCCACGTGCCCAAAAGTTCAGACACCAGCAACTGCCCAGGACTGTGTCCTCACCCAAGACACAGTCCAGGGGAACGGAGGAGTCACTGTGTGGAACCCGCTAGCTCAGGAACCAATAAGCTACATGGAGATTAGAATGGTAAGACTAACACCCTCAACCCAAGAGCATTACAGCTTTATTCCTTCCCTGCAAAACCCTCTTGTTTACTTTGCGCTCCTTTTCTGTATTCTCTCTTTTTTTTTTCTAAATACAAAGTCACTCTGTCATATACTTCTGGTGACAGATCATCACCATTCCAAGCACCATCCTGCAGCAATGATTTATTGCTGTTGAAACTGTACAACTGCATAAAAAGAGACATTTCTACTTCTTTGGCTAGCTCGGACAATTACAGATAGTTGGCTATTTTCTTATGAGCTTTACCTTGCAGCTTTTTCTTTCCTGGGCAGCTCTGAAACTTAACAAAATGAAGGTAGGCTTTAAGTCTGAAAAGAAAGCTCTGTTTCTGAAATGCCTATCTAACTGCCTCCCTAACTGTTTAAACAGTATTCCTCTGTCTACGTGCAGGCCTCATGACAAACAGGGCAACTAGCAGAATTTCAAAAAAGATCAGTTTTTCTGGGTAAGAATCTTAACCAAACTCCTCCAGACTTGTTCTTGGTTCTGTGACAGACTGAACTAGTATTAGATAATCAGGATTACAAATCATCAAAAGAATTTGCAGTGTTGTGAACCACGTTTTGCACACTAGCATTAATGATGCAATGAATCATGCTCAAAAAATCCAGTTTTGAATCTCAAACGCAGTGCCAGAGATGGATGCTGGCTCCCAAATGAATGAAAGCCTCACTAAATCTCAAGGAAATCCAGGGAGGCAGCGCATTGTTTGGAGTCACCGGTAACTGGAGCTACATCTTACAGAGCCAATGAACAAGTTACCAGCAGGCAGCGTTTGTTGGAGACAAGCAAATACTAACACGGGAACAGCCTGTCCTGCACTTGCAGGAATTGAGAACACCGTGTATTTTCAGTACAATTGCCTGCTTTAGCTTTCCCCATTATGTGGAAGGTTTGTATATGTTATTTATTTCAGCACTGCTTGTTTCTGCTGACTGGCAAGAACTGCAACAGCAGCAACACACTGACTTGGCAGCGTGCCTCTTTGGCCATGCAGCTGCATCACCTTCACCTCAGGAAGTCCTTTAGCTGGAGGTTTCTGGAAGACTCTGATGAGAAACTACCACCTCTCGCTTTCCCTCTTATATATATCTTCTTTTCCAAACACCTAAAACTGACTGCTCTCACATACAGGATGCTGGGATAGCTCTTCTGATCCAGTTTTACAAATTCTTACTCCCATGGCATTAAACTGGTCTTGGTTCTTACCAGGTCCTTGTTTACTGCTAGGCCCTGAACTTCTTTTCCAAATATTTCTATATGCTCAGGCTCGCTGTCCCAACAACCTGTTTAAGATGATGTCTATTTCTAAGCACTATTTTAAATAATTCATATTCTGCTCACTGGTTTAGAATTAGTATGGACAAGAAAATTTTTGGCTGCTGCATGCAGAAAACTTTGCTAAAGTCACTTGAGCAAGGAGCTGACAGGGAGTTGCAGGTATAGCTCATTATAACAATGACCAGTTTGTATAAAGGAGCTTTCCGAACAGTGAAGGACAGATTGCTTTATTTAAAAAAAAAAAAAAAACACCAAAACCTAATTAAGACTATATTAAATTATTAGTTTGTGACATCTGGCTGTCCAAGTGCTGTGATTGCACATGTTCTTCCCAATGGTCTAAAGTTTGTTTTGATCTTGTTTAAATTCATTTTAAATTCATTAGAGTAGGTCTTTTTTGGACAAAGTTTAGCTGGCTTAAGATGTAATATTATTTTTCTAAGTTCTGCTAGCTCGTAGTACTGTGTTTGTAAACCAACTTTGATCTGCTTCTCCCCTTAGCCCTTCAGATACAATTAGGTCCTGCTAGCAGTAATTGTCTCAGCTGGGGGCCTTACTTGGAAAGATCATCTCAGCAAGCTCCCACTTTAAGCAGATCCTGTTGGGCTCTGTGCAGAGCAAGGTCCCAACTGAAGGGTCCAGCCCAAAGCCTCCAGAAACCGTGTGGGATCTTCTGCAGTTGGTGGGCTTTGGGCCACCGCTAGTGACAGCGAGCTGACAGAATTTGGCCTCCTGGACGTCTCTTATTTCAGCACTGCTTGTTTCTGCTGACTGGCAAGAACTGCAACAGCAGCAACACACTGACTTGGCAGCGTGCCTCTTTGGCCATGCAGCTGCATCACCTTCACCTCAGGAAGTCCTTTAGCTGGAGGTTTCTGGAAGACTCTGATGAGAAACTACCACCTCTCGCTTTCCCTCTTATATATATCTTCTTTTCCAAACACCTAAAACTGACTGCTCTCACATACAGGATGCTGGGATAGCTCTTCTGATCCAGTTTTACAAATTCTTACTCCCATGGCATTAAACTGGTCTTGGTTCTTACCAGGTCCTTGTTTACTGCTAGGCCCTGAACTTCTTTTCCAAATATTTCTATATGCTCAGGCTCGCTGTCCCAACAACCTGTTTAAGATGATGTCTATTTCTAAGCACTATTTTAAATAATTCATATTCTGCTCACTGGTTTAGAATTAGTATGGACAAGAAAATTTTTGGCTGCTGCATGCAGAAAACTTTGCTAAAGTCACTTGAGCAAGGAGCTGACAGGGAGTTGCAGGTATAGCTCATTATAACAATGACCAGTTTGTATAAAGGAGCTTTCCGAACAGTGAAGGACAGATTGCTTTATTTAAAAAAAAAAAAAAAACACCAAAACCTAATTAAGACTATATTAAATTATTAGTTTGTGACATCTGGCTGTCCAAGTGCTGTGATTGCACATGTTCTTCCCAATGGTCTAAAGTTTGTTTTGATCTTGTTTAAATTCATTTTAAATTCATTAGAGTAGGTCTTTTTTGGACAAAGTTTAGCTGGCTTAAGATGTAATATTATTTTTCTAAGTTCTGCTAGCTCGTAGTACTGTGTTTGTAAACCAACTTTGATCTGCTTCTCCCCTTAGCCCTTCAGATACAATTAGGTCCTGCTAGCAGTAATTGTCTCAGCTGGGGGCCTTACTTGGAAAGATCATCTCAGCAAGCTCCCACTTTAAGCAGATCCTGTTGGGCTCTGTGCAGAGCAAGGTCCCAACTGAAGGGTCCAGCCCAAAGCCTCCAGAAACCGTGTGGGATCTTCTGCAGTTGGTGGGCTTTGGGCCACCGCTAGTGACAGCGAGCTGACAGAATTTGGCCTCCTGGACGTCTCATGAGGATCTCTGCTCCCCAGCGCTTGCATTTTCTCATCAGCACAAGAGAAATGGTGAGCTATGTCTTTCAAGCCTTTAGGGGCACCTCAGGGTCCTGTTTCCCACACTACCTTCTCATCTTTCCTGAACATAATTCATCTGATGTCCTCTAAGAGAATGATAGTCTCACAGCACGCTCAGTCCCACCAGGACTAATACCAGCCTTGCTCTTATTGCGGTTGGCTAGCACTGATTTATCTCAAGCTGCACCTCTTGGAAGAACCGTATTGTGAATGCAGCGGCACACCCAGCCAGACTATCATTCTTCGCTTTCTAATAGAAAAACATCAATAGAAAAATGTTATATTTTTACACTTTGAATGTTCTGACAGAAACTATTCATGCATTCAAATCAAACTGACACCTTGGTTCTACGTTTTTTCCAGTGAACAAATTAATTGGAAATTTTTGCTCGGTGCTCTTGAGAAACTTTGTCTTGCTGAAACAGCAGGCCAAATTATCCACTGGGTGAGTTCCAATGGCATCAGTTCCCCATTGTTCCCTTCTGAGTCTCAGAAGCTTGTCCATTCCTTTGCCACCTGACAGATGAATTACAGCTTTTTTTTGCTATTTGGTTTCGCAAAACATGCTTCAAAGACACGCTTCAGCTAGTCAGGCTAATTACTAAAACAATATGTTTGAATATTCTCTGTTTGTCGTTCTACACATTAGACTCTTGCAATATTATAAATGTGGTTTAAAATCTAACACATTAGACCTAGAAGTTCTTACCTTATTTAGTCTCCTATATAACTCTTACTGGGGTTCTTAAAAAAAAAAAAAAAAATTAACCATTTTGTCCAACTCAATACACAATGCACTAGATGTTCCTCTAACACACTTCTATGCGTTTCCACATCTCCATTAAAAAAAAAAATCCTGCTGGCTTTAAGCTGTGGACTATTGTTCTTGCCAAAAGCAGCTGTGGATGCCTTTTACAATAATGTCAACTTCATACAGCAAATGCATCACTATTGCATTACTGCAGCAACCACGTACCTTTAAACTGTAGCTAAAAAATAGGTATTTTTGTGTGAATTTTGCATGACTGTGCTTTGGGTTTCCAGAAATGTGGCAAAAGTGAGAGAAGTTGAAGATGAAGAATCCAGGAGCTGAAGGGGTGGCACAGAGTTATTACTACTTAATGTTAGTATCACCTGAGTGCCTGGAGGCCCTTCTGAAATCATTGTTCCAGTGTGGTAGACATCCTGTGTATGTATGGGGAGAGACACTGTCTGCCTGGAGAGGCTTGCAGTCTAAATAGATGCAGCAAGAGGTAGCTGGAGAGAGAAATGATTATCCCCAATTTTAGAGTCAGGGCGCTAAAAGAAAGAGGCACTAAATGATTTGTTCAAGATCACCCAAGGTGAGCTTAAACGAATGCCAGCACAGCGCCCAAACAAGACAAAATAGCACGTTTTACGTCTTCCACTAGCGTCTACTACCTCTTGTGAGAAGCCCCCTTAACTTCAGGGTCTCAATCTTGTTTGATTTCCAACTGTTTTTGGGCATCAGGGCATACTGGGAGTTGAAAGTGGAAAGATAGGAATCTGAGCTTTGAATCACTTGGTCTGAAACAAGATGCATATGGATGCTTGCATGCTTTGCTGCTCCCAGTGCCCCTAACCGTGGGTCGGCAGCTCAGCACTGGATCAGAGGTGTGTAGAGCATGCCACAGCATTTGGGCTGCACACAGTGTGCTGTTTCATGTGGCTTTTTAATGAGGGATCAAAAACTTGGGGTAAAGAGGGTGACTATACCTCAGGTCCTCCTGCATTTGTTTTTCTTCATGTTTTAGGTTCCCCAAGAACTTTCTTGTTGGCCCTAGGCTTACCACCAGTCCTACAGACCTCATATGGAAGTTGTTCTTAATGTGACTCCAACCCAACAAAGCATTTCAGATCATGAGATCATGCCAGCAAAATCCTTGGGACTATGAACAGGTGTAAGATCTCTGATTGCTTCATGGGAAAAAGGTCTTTCCTGGGTTTGCCAAACAGAGCCCATCAGATCCTATTAAAAGCCACAAAGGATCCAAAAGAGAGAAAAACAGCAGAAACACCCGAGGTGCCTGTGAGTAGACATGGACAAATGCAGCGTAAGCTGGACAGAGTATAGTCTCTCACTCGGAACCCATCACTAAACCATTGCACGTTTTCCTCCATCTATGAGGAGGTCATTTTGTCCCCATTTATCCTTCAGTTACAGGTATTGTGTCTGATAACTGAGACACAAGGAGATAAAAGACTTACCTGCAGGTCACAGAGGTATGAACCCGCGGCGCAAAAGGACCCAGAGCGTGCTGTGGGTTTGCTGCGCTAGCCACAGAGGAATCCTTCCTGCTGGTGGGCAGCAGCAGGAGCTTGGCCAGGTTCTGCCCTCAGCGTTGCCTGACACTGCTTTCATGAAGGCTAAAAAGGAGAAGGCAGATTTTACAGAGAAAAATACAATGTAAGTGTTTTTCCTATAGAAAATTACTAAAAGTTTGTTCCGCCTGTGCAGTTTAACTTTTATTTCAATCTACACCTTTTAGTTATATTTGCAGCCAGCTCAAAAGGGAAGTAATTTTTCAGACAAGGAAATAATAAATTCACAAAGTAGCGATTAGAGATATAGCAATTCATTCTAAATTCTCCTTGATTTGATAAAGGGGAAGAACTTGAAAGAAAAAAAGACCTTTTCAAACTCCTTTGCATGTTAGAGACGTTCAGGAAACTTCACATCATTGTCCTTACCTGAAGACTTGAACGTATTTATAGTTACTTCAAATTTATTATCATAAGGAACAGAGACCTCTAGCTAATTCACATTAATCAGGTGCTCTAGAAATGAGGATGCTTTTTGCTGTCACTGAGGAAAGAAGGCTATTTGAAAACATTTGAGTTCATGTGGTCATTCCATCCTCTACAGATTTCACCCTTTGTCATTTTTTGGAAGCTAGTTTGAGATTCATTAACTAAACATCAGAAGCTCTCCTCTAGCCTCAGTTACAGGGCTCTATCCTGCCTGTGCCTGCGTTTGTTCTTTAAATGAGCAGAAGCAGCCTGGCGCAGGGCAAATCTGGAGACTACGCCAGGGAGAACCATGGCCATGGTAATTACCACTTAACCTTGCTTTCCTTATTCACTGCAGTTCTGCAGCACAGGGAAATTGTTTCTAGTATAGATGCCTTCTACAAGAGATGGATGTAATACTTTTCAAACCAGCAAAGTGCTGCTGATTTGCGTCAGGTGAAGATATGTCCATTTCTCTATTTTTTTGTGACTGGTGCCAAAGTCTCTGGTGTTTTTGTTGTACTGCTTAGTCTTCACTGAGAAGAAGAAAATCAGGGTACTTAGTCCTGCTGGACTGGGCCCAGTATACGTACAGAGAAATTGCCTTTCATAATGTGCCATTATATATACTTTGCAATTGTCCATAGCCAAGGAAGGAACAAAAAAAATTAGACTCCATTCTTCACTTATCTTTCCCAAGGAGTTCTCCTATAAAAAGGGATTGCTCTCTGTTCTTTTCATCTGTATTTGGCTGGATGCTGTCTCTCCTTTTTCTTATTTGTTACTTCCAAACAGTAAGGAAGAAATGAGCATCTGTAAATTCAGGTTTCCATGGAGTTTGACTCTTCGTTCGGGCTTACAACTGCCAAAGAAATGCCTGTTTGATAGCAGTGGGTATCTGCTGTTACTGTTACCCGGGAAGAAGTTTTCAAACCCACAGGTCAATCAAGTGCTAAGCGTGCCATATCTTGAAGATTTAGCCATTTGCTTTGCAATGTTTCAGTACAACTGATTTATTAAAACACTTCTGACTCAGCAGGACAACTTCAGAAAAAGGACTTGAGGCTGTTATGCAAACATCCTCCAAGTTCTTGTTCTCCCCTTCACACCTTCTCTATCGATTTACATGGGAAAAGGAAGGTAAGGGCATCCACTGGTGTTTTTTGCCCCTTTTCTAATGTAAGTGGTATTGATTAAAGTTTCGCTTACCTTAGTATCAGGCTACTTCAATTCTGTTGTCTACAGGTCCTGATTATTGCAGCGCTCCTGCCTTCGCCTGTCTTTCCTGAGTAACCTGTAACGTATGTCAGGAGTCAATGAAGCATGAGCAGGCATGGTGAATGGGCCACAGCAATCCTGAACCAGGCTGTGCTCTAGACAGCTGGAAAACGAGGGCCCTGGGATAGCCTGGGCGGCTGGTTGCACTTACCTCCCAGTTTAGTACTCTAATCACTGCCCCAGGTTACTTTTTAATTTGGAGATAGTGATTCTCTTTCATACTAGTTCAGGCTGGGGAACAGGACATCACTCAGTGACTGTCATCACAGCTACTCGCCTGTGAGTGAGGTGGCTCAGATCCTCCAGAGGGGCTTCCAGTCCTGACTCCCCAGCATCGGGAAAGCCGCTTCCTGTCCTAATACAGGAATGCAGAGACAGGGATGCCTGCAGAGACTGGAATTGGGTTTTTTCTAAGAAAGAAAAAAAAATTTTTTGGATACTATTGCTGGGTGATTCAAGCTCCCTGGCAGAAAACTGGGGCTGGTAGAAATGCAGAGTTGGGTGTGCATGCAGGAAGGATGCAGTGCCATGCACATGTTGTTGTATGACACATTAATGTGCAGCTATTATTGCATGGATATATCATTAAAATTCTACCACTTCTTAAAAAAACAAAACCAAAAAACAAACAAAAAAAATCCTAACTTTCTCTTCTGAAATCTAACTAATATGGCCAAAAGCAGGGTGCTATGAAAATGTCTATTCTGAACTGATGAGGTATCTAGAAAGGCGCCTGGTAAATATTCTAAGATAGTTCTTTAGAAGACTGCACTTTGGGCTTTTCTGTAAGGCAAGAAGCTAAATTAGCAGCTAATTGGGAAAAAACTGGGTTCAGAATGGACATGGTGAGCTTCTTTTCAAAATAATAACTGGGAAACTATACTGGAAAATCTTCAATTAACTAATTATAATTAGAACAAAACACAAATCTTATTAAATTTCCCTCTGAACCTCACAATGAAAGGTTAATATACGTTATCAAAATGAAAACTTCCCAGTAGAGAGGAGTTTAACATGCAAGATATTAGACACTGTGTTGCACAGACTGTTTCTGAAGATGTTTCTGATGAAATTTTAATACTATTTTTATAGTAGGAGCCTTTGGGCATGGGCCTTCTTTTTGCTAGGTATTGTACAAACTCAGAGCAGCAGACACATCATCCGTGGAGGAATGTGTGATCTAACTTGGCAAAATATACAGGAGAAGGAATAGCGCATATATAGAGCGGGAACCAGCAAACTTTATGGTGGATCTGAGATTTCAGAGCAGGGGGCAGAGAAGAGGGAACAGCTGAGCGTGTACTTGAGGAGGGGGAGGAGCTCAGTGCAGTAAAAGGGAAGAGGAAGCATGAAAGAAAGAGATTAAGAGAGCAGGTGAAGAAGGAAACCAAATCACCACCCAAGAGGGAAAGCACAGTCAAAACTGTGGCGAATGAGAATCACAAAAAACGCCCACCTCAATGAAGCTAAATCCTAGCAGAAGTCCCTCTTCCAATAACGAGAAACATCCTGACCAGATCTAATCATAACAGCACTGGAGAAATGGACAGGGTTGATGTTATTGCTCCTTTTGATACACCTAAACCTTACAGTACGGGTAAGGCTGAGCCTCAGCCAGGCCTCAGTGCAACGCAGAGCAGCAGCAGGGCTGCTCTAGCGTTTGTTGCCTGGCAGAACTCATGAACTCTCTCTGTTGGCTTGGAAACTTGACGTCCATTTCGTGATCCTAATGTGTTCTTTGTGGGAAGTACTGGTACAGAGAGAGCTCTGCTAGAGATTACTGAACTGGGGACAGCTTTCCATTCCTTGGACACAGCAATGTCCAGGAGACCACTGGCTAAAACTGAACTTGGTGGGAGTTCAGCGCCTGAACCACTAAGTCTCTTTGTAAAGGTTTCCTGCCACATTAACTCCCTGCTTCCTTTCCTGCTGCACATGCAGTGCTGGTACCTTGAAGCTGTTATGGTTCTTTAAATGAGCAGCCCTTTGTGCTTCATCTTTTTCCCATAACTCATTTGTGGGGAATTTTGCTGTGATGGTGAAAATTTTCATTCGGTGCAGCTCTGCAAATGTCTTAAGTGGCATTTTTAGGGCTCTCTCACTTCTGCTCTATTACTAGCATCTGGCTTTTATGTTTTGTTTTTCTCCTTCCCCCTTTTTTGTTCAGCATGCAAAAAAAGAAAAAAAGAAGTCTAGCTCAAACCCACTTAAGATGAGCGTATGTAGATAGATAATGCTGCAAGATTGGACACCATCTGTTCCATTTCAGAGATATGTAGCACATAAGTAAGAAAAGTGTCTCAGTGGAGGTTATTTAAAGCATATGACTGTGGCTATCTCCTGCCTTTCCAAAGAGAGGACATTGCTCTAAGAAATTATTCTGTATGCTGCATGACAAAGAGGTATTTGTACAAAATAGAATTCTAACTGAACCATAAAACAATTCTCTCACTCTCTTTCCCATGTATTTGGGGGGGGGAAGGGGGGCACTGTTCCCTGTCCAAGTGAATCAAATTTCATTGGCTTATCTCAAGACTCTTGCTATTTCTCTCTCTCTCTCTGTACACATACATAAGCAGCTGTGATTCTTCCACAGCAGTTACAGCTCCTACAAATCCAACAAACATTAAAAGGCAGATTATTTTGCCACAGATGTCTCGACTCAATCAGTAAAAGGGAAAAAAAAAACCCCAGCAAATCTACCTGCAAAGGAGAAAGCTCAACAGTTTTGCCACCTACTTAACGGGACAATGTACAGAGAAGCAGGGGTGACCTTGAGGTTCTCAAGTAATTCTGCAAGTTGTCGCCAAGCAGTTGTAAAAGAAGAGGCAGAGCTGGGGAGGCAGCGTATGCAAGCAGAGCCAGCACGGGAAGTATCTGCCTGCTTCTTGAGTCAGCTAAAGCAGGAAGGGGGAGACCCTCGGGAACACCAGTGTCAAACTGGACTGCAGACATGTGGTTCCCACATGCGCCAAGGACAGAGCAGCTGCTGGATGGAGCAACAACCTGCGCAACATTGAGCTGCGCTGTGTCTGAGCCCTGACTTGGAGGAAACTTTCAAACCGTAACTCTCTCACTGTAACAGAATTGGTGGGACTTCGTTTCCAGATTAAAGAGGCAAGTGGAAGATTAGCAGTGTGTCTGGCTTTTTGATTGCCTGTGTCTCATCTCCACACAGAAATCACAACCACAGACATTAGCTATCATTGGAATGAACATCTAGCACAGGAAGAGGGAGGAGGATGTCCCAATATTACCTACAAATGAAATTTAAGAGACTACAAAGGGGGAACAGTAACTGTCACAGAGTCTCTAAAGTATCCCAGAGAGCTGCAAAACAGCTGCTATTTTACGACACCTTCCGCACTGCAATAACGCCTTAGCCCCTTAAGAAAAGAATGTAAGAACTGGGTGTCTGGATAGGGATGTTTTTCATCATCAGCCTTCCCAGCTTAGCAGACTCCCAAACCAAAGCCTAGATTCACACCACTGATCCCCCATCTTTTCAGTTTTTCTGCACACACTTGCATTTTGGTCTCGATGACAGCCTGCATCAGGGAGCTGCATGGGTTTCATGGGTTACTAACTAGAGGTAAGAACATGTCATCTTCCTCATAGGAGCAAAGCCTTGAGAGCTTACCTCACGTGGAAGAGCC